GAAGCAATTCCGAGCGGGATATATATCATCATAAATTTCCACGACGGGATGAATATAAAGTAAAAGAGACAAAAACGATGCGAAAAGTGCGAATTAGTGGACATCACAAGCAATAGTAGTATAGCTCCATAGCCACTCTATAACCACTGTTACTCCTACTCTACTTAACCCAAACGGGTTTACGTATAACCCAACCTTTGCTACGACTCTACTCTATGTCCCAACCCCAACGCATGTCGCAATGCATTCGAACTATTCTCTCCATATAACCTAACTCTGCTATAACCCAACTCTGCCATTTACTAAGCTCTATTCTACACTCCTCTCAACGCATGTCGTAATGCATTCCAACTATTCTCTCTCCATTACTGCTACGAACCCCGTAATGTCTCTACGACGCAGCTCTGCCCAACTAATAACGCCCAACTGCCCCCCCCTCTCTCTCTCTCTCTTGCAATATAGCACAAAACCAACGTATAACCCAACCTTAGCTACGACTCTGCTCTATGTCCCAACGCATGTCGTAATGCATTTCAACTATCCTCCCAATAAACGTGTGTTGTTTACCTTGCTTGCCATGTGTTTTTAGAAATTCCGCGTAACAATCCGTGGTTGTTGCGGGGTGGTCCTGATGGTGTTTGACGTAGAAGACTTTATACGCTTCGTATGCGTCTTCGGCCTCCTTGCGCGTTGCATTGGGATAGTCTTCTTTAAATTTAAAAGCAAAGTCAAATGGGCCTAGTGAGTAGTCCATGTCGATGTTTTTCTGTATGTTTAGCGAAAGAAGAGTCGCGATCTAGCTCTGCGCCGCCCAACTCAGCCCTGTATATACGTTTTACTTACACAAACATGTGATACTCCTTGTATTGAAGCGCCGAATCAACTACAGGTGCCAGGTCCAGCACACTTAGCAAAATAGATCGGGAACCCGCCATGCTTTTGTTAGAGATAAAGGATAATGGAGACAAAGGGAAAACCTCTTTTATACGCATCTTTACATATCACGTTGCCACAATGTTGTTCCCTGATGTATTATGTAGAATCCGTGTTACGCTATTGCCCTCGAGTTCACAGGCGCAGCAAGCACATGACCAATTCAAAATTCCTGAGCGGAACGAATGATACATACTCAGGAATGTAAGTCTATTTCGAATTGCATAATAATAACGTTCAGATCACGTGAAGATACACATAAAGCTCGTATATTGATATGAATGAATATCATTTTTTACAGAACATAGTGAATAGATATACAAGTTCGCATATTAATCTACGTATACGACAGCCACCTATTGTGAGGTTGCATGGGAGAGAATAGTCGGACCCAAGGCCTGCCTCGAAAGGCTATGACTATTCCCTATTCTTTGGCCTCACATACATAAGCTATCCAACATTATACTCAGTTATTTCTTTGTTCCTCAATTCCATCCAACACTTGATCGCGCCTATCGTTCTTTTATCAGATTTTCTTTTTCCATTACAGAAACTTTCTATCGCTTTGGCTCCGATAACTTGCACCGTCTTAAACATATCAGATCTAATAATACTCATTCGTACCATGTACTCTTCAATCACTCTCTTGAAATTCCGTAGCAGGGATTGAGAGACTGAGTTCGAAAACGATCTATGCGACGATGCTGTATATACAAAAATATTGTTTAGTGCCGTTAGTATGTGTTTTTTTCGGCTATTGAATACGCAAACAGAAAAATGGACACCGCCGTAAACAAATTATCAGCATTAGTGCCGATCCGGAATTGTTGATCACGAGCTAGCTACATTTCGATTCCCCAATTCATTAACTGATAGTTAGTTCATTAACCGTAATATTTGCGCAACATGAATATTGTTTTGCGTTCGAATTCATA